CGCCTTCGTGCGCTTCCAGACGGCGACGGGGCGCTTGAACACTAGGTCCCAGACGATTACCCAGCCGTCGGCATCGCCGGAGACGAGCCGCAGGTTTGGTGGAAAATGTGCAGGGCGTGGATTGGGGAGCATGGCCGCGGAGAATGTAAGTTGGACTTGCTGGTGGTTGCAGCTGGGTGGGGGCGCTCATTGGTTACTTGCGGTTGGGATCAGATTATGTATCAACTATTATGGGTGGATTCTTGGGTATGTCTCCTGTAGTGTTTATATGTCCTTTTATGTTCGGTTTGATGAAAGTAGTTGAAGATGATGGAAGGATATGTGGATATGGCTGGCAAAAGTCTTGGCACTGGATACGCAGTAGATAAATATTTACTCATCATCGATCGTGAGAGGGAATAATGCAAGCACGAAATATTATCCGGAGAGTTTTTTTTCGTAGTTATTGCTTTAAACAGTTGCATTTTATATAACCCAAAAACCGAAAGGCTTTCTCTATAACCTGTACCACTAATACCACATTATATGGACCAGATGTCTAACCCAATAGCGAAAGAGAAAAGCAACATCATGAAAGGTATCATAAGAATAACGCCGGCAAAGGGTATCGCACAAATGATGAACAAGTCCCACAGAACGCCGTCATACCGTTACAAATAACATCTATAAGCTCCCACATTGGTAATCACTGATTTGATGCGGCGCAACGTAATGATCTTGATACGGGTGATTATCCATGGAGAAATCCGCAAACGCCATGATAGGGTTGACAACCCCCGGCGGCATCTTAAGGAGAGTCGAAGCAGGGTCGATGTCGAAGGTGTGGTCGCTAAGCAAAGGCAGTGCATTTGGATCTGCCGGAACTGGTTGATGTTGCTGGGCTGGATTCCAGCCCCATGCTTGTTGAAGCCCCTCTTTGACTTGTTCAGACCTCCATCCGGTCTCTTTGGTGATATCGTCAATGATCCCGAAGACCTCTTCCTGAGCCTCCTTGGCAGCGAGACATTCGGCAGCCACGGCCAAAAAACGAATGGACAGGCTAGCGACTCCTCTGATTGCAACTGTTAGAACCAACAACGACGTATCTAGAACATACACTGCTTACTTGTCTTTCACATTTGCAACAATCCCGCATATGTCATGCGCATGGCTTTGCTGCACGCTTTGCATCTCAGGGCTGAACTCGTTTTCAAAGGGATGCGTTTTTGTGAGGAGAATTCGAGTCGTATGGTAGAACAGCCGAGCTATAATTGAAGCTCGTTTGATAAGCCTGACGACAGTTAGCTAGGGTAGTTGATTGTCAAGGCTCACAATGTACCCACCATATCTTTGGAAACGCGGATTTCGAGTTGGTCTGCCACGACGGCAGAAACGCAAGAGGCATCATGGAGCGAGGCACGGCCTTCGCCCATTTATCACACCAGTCATTGTATATAGTCCATTCCTGACAGCGATGATTGATCTCCATGTCGTTGGTTGAACGATCCAAGGGCTGGAGTTGAGACATGGACGACCGAAGATTGACGACTTTGGCACAAATATAGACCATGCGGTGGGTCCACAGTTCCTCATTGCCTGCAACACTGGGGTGGGCTTGTTCGAAGTCCATATTTACACCCCATGTGTCGGGATCCCAAGCCAACGCCCAATTGAAATGCAAACAACTGAGCAGTTCCATACTAACATTCAGCCAGAAACAGGCCCCCCCGAGACCTTGAGTCCTCGCGTCCCAGTGACACTCCTTAATGAGGGCTCGTGCACCAGCGATGTGGTTCATCCCATGGATTGATGGGAAAGATTTTGAACACATTAGCTCATAGACATTGAGGACGACAGCTGTTGTCGCACATAAGGCAGAGTCTCGGTCTGGGTCATGTAGCGCGCTAAGGAGATCCCTAGAAGCCGCATCATGGAAATATGAGGCTTTTTCTTCTCCGTAGGAAGGATTCTTAAGGTATACATGACGGGCGCCACATGCCATGAACGCCCTCAAGAGCATCGGTTCTCCTAGCGCATGGAACGGCAAGATATGCGTAAACTGATCATGTCAGGAACGACATAATGTTTTCAAGGACCGTGAAACTCACATGTTTTACATCGTTCATCGAGTCCATCCATTGACCAACTTCTTCTACAAAGACTTGCATCAGGAAGACATCGTCGGGGTCCTGAAGACATGCGTAGTTATTGGACTTTACATCCCCCTTTCCAGCCGAGTTGAAAGGCGCATACGAAGCGCTTTGATCTAGAAGAGGCTGATATGGGGGATGAGGATGGCTACCAAACGTAGCATTTATACTGGCCGGTTGAGCCCCCGGACCCGCTCCAAACGAGGGAGCGGCATGCGGATTATACGCAGACGGAAGAGGGCTCGTGAGATTGCCCGCCTTCGAAGGAGGGTCCGCTACTGGCGGGGGATATCTCTCAAATCCCCCAACATACTCAGAAGCTATATGTCTAGACTCGTCACGGAACGTCACCCGGGATCCCGGAGGGCGTGGAATATAGTGAGGAGGCGCTACCGTTTGGGTATCGATGAAATTGAGACGAACTCCACGTCTGCATATCCGGCCTGATTTCCGGCAATTCTGGCACTGATGCAAAGCCTCGTCACACTTCAAATGGCGCTCTCGGCAAGTGAGGCAGCCGGTTCGGACACGCCTGGGCTTCCGTGCGGTGTCCTTTCGTCGGCCGGTATCGCTGCCTGGTGTCCGTGCGACGCTCATTGTGGTGCTGTTCGGGGTTAGGACTCCTTCACCAAATGGGCTTTCTCGAGCATTGTCATCTGTGGCTAGCTTGTCCGGGGTTGGAATGTCTACTTCCAGGCCAGGCGTATCTGCGGTTTGGTCGGTCGCTGCCACCTCTATAGAGACATCCAAATCGGGCGACAGCAAGGCATTGCCCTTGATAGTAGAAACCGAAGCCATATCAACGCTCGATGTAACACCCCAGACGCTTCTTGAGCCACTTTATATCCAGCGCCCAATATTGTTACGTAAAGCCTCACGATCAGCCGCAACGACCAGGCCCCCAGCGCATTGTGACTACCTGTAAGATTCCCGCTTGCGTAGAGATACTGACTGTCGTTTCTGTCGGAGTTACGGATGGCGGCGACGATTGATAATGGAAGCAAGTACTACAATCGAGCGGGGAAAGGTAAAAAAGAAGATCTTCTTGTATTAATCGGGCCATGAAAAAGCGACGGATATTCTTCGGCACCTGGAGGGAAACAGGTTCTTGTCAGTCTAGTCCAGTCAATGATGAGCCCCGTAGCGAGCTACAGGTTGTACCCCATTTTCAAAACGCAGCGCGGAAAAAAGCGGCAGCAGTCCATACCCTTACCAAGGCCAATCAATATGCACCGAACCCACAGAGCGATTGGTTGATGAGAGAGAGTGTGTGTGAAACTGAACGACCCCGAAGATTTGCGGGGAGATAACCAACATCCCTCTAGACCAGAACGGGACTAGCGCATCCTTCACCGGACTTTATCAAATCACCTCTGTAAGGCCGACAACGTGATTGTTCATTTGTCTGCTCGATATCCAATACATGTATTTCATTCTCGTGGCTTTCTACAGTTTGGTTCCCATATTAACATGTACAGCCTTCACTTGGCTGTACGCCTCAAGTCCAGCTTCACCTAATTCGCGCCCGATTCCACTCTGCTTCACTCCTCCGAACGGTACCCGAGGATCGCAGTCCTGGCTGCTGTTGATCCAGACCATACCAGACTCAATCTCAGCAGCAACCCGGTGGGCACGCTCAAGGTCCTTGGTGAAGACCGCCGCACCAAGGCCATAAGTGGTATCATTTGCACGCCGGATGGCTTCTTCCTCCGTCTCAAATGGCACAATGACAACTACGGGCCCAAAGATCTCCTCCCGATAGATCCGCATCGAGTCCGTAACATTCGTGAAAACAGTCGGGCGAACATAGTATCCCGACTCGCCGTTGCTGTTGGGTGGGTGAGGGCCTCCTCCGGAAGCCACCGTCGCGCCCTCCGAGATGCCCACTTGAATGTACTCGAGCACCCTATCGTATTGAGCGCGGGTCACCTGGGGCCCTTGGAAGGTGCTCTCATCCCACTGGTCTCCGATCTTAGATGTGGTCTGAATCTCGCTCTTGAACTGCTCAACAAAGGCATCGTAAATGTCCTTCTGGACCAAGATCCGCGACGTAGCAGTGCAAATCTGGCCCTGGTTGGACATGATACCGAAATGGGACCATTTCACGGCCTGCTCCATATCGGTATCGTTGAACACAATCAGGGGCGACTTTCCTCCCGTCTCCAGAGTAATATTCTTCAGGCTGCCCGCAGCCATCTTCATAATCTCGCGCGCGGTAGCAGTGGAGCCGGTGAACGCCACCTTATCGACCAAGGGGTGCTGCACCAACGCGGCACCGGCCTCCCGACCGTATCCATTGATGATATTAACAACACCCTTCGGGAAGCCCGCTTCCTTGATCAAGGATCCCAGAACCAGGATGCTCAAGGGCGTCTGCTCCGCAGCCTTAATCACAACCGTATTGCCACAAGCCAGGGCAGGACCCAGCTTCCAGGCGGCCATGGACAGCGGGTAGTTCCACGGGATGATCTGGCCCACCACACCGATGGGCTGTCTGATTGTGTAGGCGAACTTCTGGGGGGTTGTGTTGATCGTCTGACCGAACGTCTTATCGGCCCAGCCACTGTAGTACCGGAAGGTGGTAATAGCTTCCACCAGGTCCTCGCTCAGGGCAACATGGTATGGTTTTCCTGGGTCATCAATCAGTACACACACACACATACAATTGGGAACTAGACAAAGATTCCGCTCACCGTTATCCCACGCGTCAATCGTAGCGAAAAGCTCCTTATTCTGCTCGATCAAGTCGGCCAACCGGCCCATTAACATTCCTCGGTCTGTGGCGGGGAGGAGCTTCCATGAATCATGCTTCAAGGCCGCTTTGGCGGCATTGACTGCCTTGTCGACGTCCTCGGCACCGGCCGCGTAGACAGAGGCGATTTCACGGGTGGTTCTGGCATGGGCGTTAGTTTTTCAAAGATAATTGATAAGGTCTGGTAAATAGCATACGCAGGATCAATAGAAGCGATCGTCTGCCCAGGTGTAGACTTCACAAATTCATTGTCGATAAACAATCCCGTGGGCTGTTTATACCGGCGACCATTTGGCGCTGTGATATCGAGGAAGAGATCGAGATCCGACATGGCGGGGGTATGTATGACTCGTTCAAGAAATGAAAAAACCCAAAGTAACAGAGTCGGGTATAATAAAGTCAGCAGTATGAAAAGAAAAACAAAGCAAAAGTTGAAGAAGAATATCAGAGAACCGTCCAGCTATGCACGCCTAGAGGCCATGAGCTTTATCTACACGAAAAAGACAAGCAAAGCAGAGCTAACCCCACTAACCACAGCTTTCAAACCAACAGCCAAATGTCCACTGAATCGACCCCGAAATTGCCCCTCCGTGGGGTTCGCTCGGGTACACATACCGTATGCACGCAAGTGATTTGAGGGGGTTGCAATTTAGCGCATTCTGAGTCCAGCCTTATCGGAGTTCATCGCGAGACTTTAGGGTTGCATAGTCTGCTGCCCGAAACAGGCAGGTCGTTCCGAAACCGATACTCATTCCGAGTTTCAACTTCGACCCTTATTGATAAGTATTATGTATTGAATTATTAATCTTCATGTGGATCATCATGCACAGGGAGACTATACCCCGGATCCATAGATCCAGCCGTCGGAATGACAACTTACTTCAGAATCATATCCAACAACCACAACCACCCAAGGAAGGCTTTTCCGGCACACTCGTAGATATAATAAACCATGCCACCAACCAGAAACATAACGTATAGCCAATTCAATATATTCATACCCACACTACATTCTAAGAAACATATCCCAACCACCTAACCAAAAATATGAGCAACCAAGAACTCACGGGCGTCATGGTCGCCCTGATCACCCCCTTCACAGACGACGGCAGCAAGATCGACGAAGCCCGTCTGAAGTCCCACATCGAGCGACTCCTCCAAGCCGGCGTGCACGGCCTCGTCCCCGGCGGCAGCACAGGCGAATTCACAGTGCTGTCCCTCGCCGAGCGCAAGCAACTCACCGAGCTGTGCGTCAAGTACGCCGCGGGCCGCGTGCCCGTGGTCGCCGGCACAGGCGCCACCTCGACGCAGGAGGCAGTCGAGCTGGCCAAGCACGCCGGGGAGGTCGGCGCGGCAGCAGTGATGGTCGTGCCGCCTTTCTACGACCCGGTCAATTACGAACAGCTCACGGAGATGATGAGCGAGATCCACACCGAGTCGAAGCTGCCGATCATGTACTACAACATCCCGTCCGCGAGCGGGCTGACCTTGACGCCGCAGCAGATCGCAGATCTGTCGAAGGTCGGCGTCAAGTACCTCAAGGATACCTCCGGGAATGCGCCGGCGTACACAGAGCTGGTCTTCGGCTTGTCGGATAAGATCACCGCGTTCAACGGCTGGGATACCCTTACATTCTATGGTCTGGCGGCTGGAGCGCCGGGCTGTGTGTGGGGTGCCGCGAACATTATCCCGGAGTTGGCGGTGCAGCTGTGGGAGGCTATTGCTGTGCAGGGTGATTTGAAGCGTGGTCGGGAGCTTTGGGCCAAGGCTTTCCCTGTCTGCAAGTTCCTCGAGTCGCATAACTATGCTGCTGCGGTGAAGACTGGCGTTGAGCTGACTGGTCAGCCCACTGGTGGTCTGCGGAAGCCCTTTGCCCTGTTGGCGGACCAGCACAAGGCTGAGTTGGCGTCGTACATGCAGTCGGCGGGTGTGAAGACTGTTTAAGGGGTGGTTATTGGGAGGAATATATCAGCATTATTGACTCATGTGAGACGTGACATCCCGGCGTTTTGTGCTTCAGCTTTCTATCTGTGAATATGTATGACATGAAATGATAAAATGCATGGTCTTCTTTTTTCCTTATGAAAGCATCGGCCAAAGCTTTTTCTGTCTCAGTATGTCCATCCACGTAGGGAGCGGGCCTCCAGCGCGATTAAAGCGGAAATATCCGTCTTGTTCTTTCCACACGGCGGTCATCACATCCTTCGCGACGGAAAAAGATGCAAAGCCGCATTGCGCTCCTCCCTTTTCGACCCAGCGCAGGAGAGCATCGCGCTTAGATGGTGCCGTGGCTTCACATCCCGCCATGAACGCCGGCCACGCCGTGCCTGGACCAGGCACTTCATGTTGGGCTAGCGCCGTGTCGAAATCTTTCAGAGCCGCTATGACTTCATCGACGTGCGATTGAAGAATTGACGGGTGAACGTTGCGGATGCGACGGTAGAAAAAGATTACAAGGGCCGTATTTAATGCCCGGAGCATGTGAGTATGTGGCCGGGCAGGCCCTCCTGCCGAGTCGGTATTGCTTCCCTTACTTCTATCTGAATTAAAAGAGCAGATCATGTTCTCCAGACGGGTGGCTCGTCGTTGTAATGCCTCCCACGCGTCCGAGTTCATGAATCTCTTGGTCCCTCCAGAGGCCACTAGAGTGTCCATGACATTGGCTAACCGGGTTGTTTGTGATACTAAGCTAAGCCATGTCTCCGGTATACCGTAGATCTCGCTGTAAAGCGTGTCTGCCCATCGGCGCGAGTCTTCCAAGTGGATGTCGTGAAGGGCTACTTCGCGCTCTTTGGGAGCGTCGATATCCAGATCGCTGTCTGACTGGCGGGGCTGCAGGAGCAGAAAGTCATCCAATCGTGCGTCCAGTCCGCTTCGGCGGCTGTTATCTTGCTCCAGAATATCTTCGTGGGGCTGGAAGCAGTGGTTCAGTGCCTCGATAAACGAAGCGGATGGATTGTAATCGTGAAGGACATAGGTGCTTTCTCCTACGATGCGCATCCACGTGTAAATGTGATGCAACACACGCGCTTTCCGGGAGATCTCACGTTTGGATAAACCACGGAGACGCATGAGGCGCTCGGCATCTATCATATAGCAACGTGCGTCCTTTTGATGTCCCGAAAGAATCTGAAAGTACATAGTCAGCCAGGTGTCAAAGTGGCCAGGGGCCAAAGGGAGAGTCTAACTGCAAAGGCTGCCATCCCGGATATAGCCATTAGCTGGTCCTTGTACTTGGCCTTCTTCGGCCCGTTCACCTCGATCTTCAGCGATTGCTGTATATGGTCCTTCGCCTTATGGTACGAATAATGCGTTACTTGCTTCCAGTGCTCGGCCGAGTGCGGTGACTCAATAGTGGCATTAAGGCTCAGATGATGTGCGGAGCACGCAAGAAGAGAGTAAAAGTTGGCCAGCCTAGCGTGATTGAGGTTGTGACCCCCCAGGTATGTAAGATCTCCAAGCGTCAGTACGGCGGTTGGAATATTTAGTATCTTCCATGGGGACTTTTGCCCGACAGGCAATGTCATCATCTGCCCAATTACATTATCCTGGAAGTGCTTTAGTAGGAAAGGCGCATCCGTCAGTATATCGCTCGTGGGGGAGACCAGCTCAATGGGTGTCTGTTGTGGTGTCAGTGGCCTCATTCCTCGTTGCCCTTCGTCTCTTTCAAATGCTGCTAGGTCTTGATCATGTGGCTGATGAGACATATCGTCTAATCCACTCCGATAAATGGAGGAATATAGACCATGAGTGAGTTCACCATGGTTGAAGTCATCGGATAATATCCCAGAGGTCAGATCAAACCCAAGGCCAAATAGATCGGCCCAGTGAAGGAACTCGTCCGCCCCAAGGAGGGGATCAGTTACGGAAGACAGCAAGGGATCAAGCTCCAATGCTTCATCATAAGGCAGCCTGTTGATAGCCGGGGCCGGGCTTGTCTTCTCCGACTGAGCATTGTAAGGTTTATTGTTCGTGTCGGTACAAACGTCGAACTTAAGAACCCCAAAAGGCCCAACCGCGACATCTCCAGTGGATGAACCTTCTACTTCTTTGGATTTGGTATCGACCTCAGTGAGTAACGCATCCACGGTACCGGAAGCAAGGTCCGCGGCCAACGCCGTGCTCATGGAAGCCCTCGATTTTTCTGAACAGGCAAATCAGCACACGAGCATAATAGGATATGAATGCGGGGTATCTAATTTCACCTGTATAGAGATGGCGTCTCGTGCCATGGCCGCCACTAGCAGCTTTGTCTGCACCTCGACTTTCGGAACTCGATTGCCGTTGCTGTTGTGACTGGTGCTTGCCGGACATCCATCGGATCTCCGTGGAATAGCCTTCACAAGAAACGCCGAATGCACGACATGTCAGGCAGGTTGGGCGCATCTGGTCGCACTTCACATGGCGACGGCGGCAGGTCTGGCAGCCTCCCAGCGTATGGGTCCGGCGCGATTTGCTCTTTCTCGAAGGCGGCATTGAAGTTTTTTTCAGTGAGGTAATATTCAAACCAGTATACTAGTAGGTAATATGTAGAGAATCAATATAGTTCGAGAGAACCGTCAGTAGCCACGCCCTCGAGACTGACTGCGTTGATAACTGTTCGGAATCGCTTTCCTTTTGTGTTTCCCCGCACTCCAGCAAGCCAGTGAAGACTTTCCACTAAGCCACTTGTGGATTGCCCTAACTCCTTCATGTTGGCCAATTAAACCATGCAATGTTTGGGACAAACTATAAATCCACCAAGATCCATGGAAGAGATATAACTAAAAGGAGTTGAATTGAGAGGATGACTGGTACCATTCTAAGAGGGACTTGGTTTCCACAGGAGACTCCTCTCAGTAATCTCCGCCAGACCTGACATTAAATTGATATCAAATGCGGAGTGTACCCAAGGAACGACTCGAGTACAAGATCAGGGGGTAGGAGTGCCGATGTAACTCGTCACAAAATTGAACGTATTTCAGTGGCCATGAGTGAAATTCTTGTTGCCATTTACAAGAAGCCATAGGCTGAAAGTACCACCAGAGATGTAAGGCATATAGGGCTGAAATTGGATCGATTGGGCATGTCAATCACTCCCTGATCATTAGTTGCCTTTTTAAACCGCAGATAGACAATATAAACACAGATCCAGCGTTTATAGGCTCCAGTATTGATCAAGTTGACGAACCAATTAAACACAGTCGCTTCTATAGAGGATACATTGAGATTGGAGAGAAGACAGATGGCTGTGCTGTACACGACAGCATTGTAGGGAACGCCAGATTTAGTTCATTTCATCAGAAAGCGGGCTGCACTGCCTATCAAGACCGTCGAATAGAGAGGATGTGTTGGCATGTAGAGGTAAGAATTGTCAGCAGGTAATAATGAGAGCAGTATAACTGCGTCAAGCCCACTGTACCTGCATTTCGGGCCGCAATAGATCATGGAAGGCTCACGCGCCAGACCCACCTCCGAGTAGCTTGGGATCATCACTCGGGGCTAATCACACTGATGGCAGAAGCTCCGAGAATGTACAAAAGTACGAGTCTGTAGAAGTACCGTTTCCTGTGGTTGGTTGATTGCCGGTGAGGATAGGAGGTTCTGGGGCGAGGCTGAATGCAAACACGGGAAAACAGATGGTAGTAATAAAGATACTCAGGTAGCCAGAATGACCAGGAATCATATACTCGTTGATAGGACTTGGGTGCTTCCAATACTGCAAACCAGGCGATTCCCGGTTTGGTCCTCCAAAACAAGCAGCACGACCATGATGTTAATACTAAGTTGCCAATTATCTTGAGCTGAGGCGAACAAGAACTCCACTTCAGTGTAGGCTCCGACTGGAAAGCAGGTCAGGACAACAAGAGATATTGTAATCCATACAGTACATGCACTGGAGGGTTCCAATACTGAACTACAAGACTTGCAGCTGTTACCTCAGCTGGTACAGAGATATAGAGCATAAATATACATTCAAGACAGATAATTTTGGATATATAGGTGTAAGTATAAGGTACTAAATGAAGGGAATATTGCACTTATTCATTAGTGGCTCACATAGCGCAATGTATATCCCAGGTGTAAAGTGGGCAACTGACCTGTTCATAATAATACGGAATTTGAAAGATTCACGCAATTGTGGGACCTCTAATCCTGGAGTTGAAAAATAAATCAACAGTGCACATTATCCTGAGTTTCATGTCACATATATACAACAGCCTTGATGCTGAAAAGGCCGTGGAAGAAAGTCATCTACGCAGACAAAAGACCGAGACTAACCGCCTCAACACGAACTGCATCAGCAATCTCATCCTGCAAGGACTTCCCAGTAGGAATCCATCCCAGCACCCTGCGAGCGCGCTGAGCACGCTCCTGTGCATTGGTTCCCCAAAGAACACCACCATGGCCAGACAGGGCATTCGCCTCGGAGTCACTGATCTCCTTCACCGACGCCGAGCTCAGTCCTAGCTTAGCAGCCTCTTCAGCCACCAGACGGCCAATCTCTCCAAAGTTCTAGACCCCCAGTTAGAAACCCACTTAGTAGAAGGAAGACAGTGGAACTTACAATGGCTCCATTCTCCGCAAAGTAAATTCCATTCTCATTCCAGAAGGGACCCTCCTCCCCGGAAACAGCCTTCTCGACTAACGTGACGAATATCTGACTGATATCAGTGACGTGTATATTGCTCCACGTACTAAAACCCCGTCCAACTTGGTATCCGGTTTTGTTCTGGAGGGTAATACGCGCGAGTTCCGGGATCTGCACACTGCGCTGTTTGATGGGTCCCCTGCCGTGACCGTAGATGATGGGAGGATAGACGACGGCGGTCTTTGGTGACTGTGGGGTTTCGGGCAGATTGAGGATGAAATGGTCGATGAGACGCTTGGCTGCGTACTTGTGGATCAGAGCCTTGATTTCTTGCTCATCGTCGATGTCGCTGTAGACTTTGTCGGAGGGCTCTCCGTAAACACCCTTTTCGATCTCAGGTGCGGAGAGGAGAGTAGCACCGGATACTTGGATCCAGTAGCCTGAAGTATAGCTTGGTCAGAATTACAAGTCCAACTCTGATGTCTACGTTTTTGTTATAGTTGACTAACCAGGCTTCGTACGCTTCGGACTAGCCAATCCTCGGAAGACGGCCTCCGCGCCTTTATTGTTCTGCGCGCTGGCCGCATCTACAAGATGCCATACTGATCAGCAACTAGAAGTTCGAAGTAGTGGTAGCAAAACTTACTAACTACCACATCTGCAATCTGCGCCTCTTCTTCAACTGCAGCCGAGTCGAGCTCTCCCTGCACGACACGGACTTTAGGGTAAGCCTGGGCGATCTTCGCGCCCTTGTCGGCATCTCGAACAAGGACCGCAATTTCGTAGTCAGGGTGCTTTTCGTGCAGGGCGTACAGGACATCCCCGCCGATGTAGCCTGATGCGCCAGTTCTAAAGTCCAGTTAGTCAAACGCCGCTATATCTTTCACATCCATGTAGCTTAGTTGCGGCGACGGGTAGCATACAGGAAGATCCGAGTCATGATGCTATACTCAACAGTCCAATGCTGTGAAGTGGAAAGACGAAACAAGCTGTAAGCTATCTAAATTGAATACACAATGTGAAATTAAGGAAGCAAAGAGGGGCACACCCCTCCTCGATCCCCTCATCATCTCATCAAATACCGCAATAAACCAAACGGGCAAGCGATTCCGCGGAAAGCGATCGGCGCGATAACGATTTGGAGATCCATCTGCCCCACTGTTCCGAAATAGGACAGTGATTGCTACATTCAGGATCCCAGGACGTGCTGTCAATTCACTTCTAATCAGGACTGAATTGGGGGACTCCTGATTCGTATACGATCTGTTTTACCCCGAGGTGGTGTGTCTAGGAAAGTTTGCTCGAGAGTGTTCGCTTTTAGGGCCGTGGTCTGACCGCAAGAATGGAACAGCTCCGCGAACTATATATTTCATTTTCGAAAGCTCCCGTCAGTTGTAGATTTAATTCTGATATACCCCGGATTTTTATTCTTTCCCCCCTTGCCATCTGAAGATCAACATTGAAAGTGGCAAAATGGCACACCGCGGAGAGACATTACACAAGGACATTTCCTGCATCGCAGACCTAAAAGCCCAAGGAAGCAAAAAGCTCCCGCGGATGGTCCGAGGTGCGTTTGACCTGTGCCATTCTAACCATGACACAAACTCATAGATCGGCACAGATTACTACAATGAAGGAGCCATGGACCTGATCACGTACGTCAATTGCTGCATACTAAGCTTAAACCAAATGAACCCCGACATCACTAACCACACCATAATCCAACGAACAGACTCCGCGAGAACGAAGCCGCCTTCGACCGCTACAAAATCCGCCCCCGGATCCTCATCAACGTCGACCAGATTGACACATCCACAGAGATCTTCGGCACGAAAGTACGTCCCATGGAACACAAACAACCCCCAAACTCCAGCCTAACAAGAATGATCCAAGGTCGCCTTCCCCCTGGGCTTCAGTCCCGCGGCATCCCAGAAACTCGCCCACCCGGACGGAGAAGTAGCAGCGTCGCGCGCAGCCGCAAAATACAATGTATGCATGGGGCTGTCGTCGTATTCGAACTACTCGCTCGAAGACGTGGCCGCGCAGGGCTGTGGGAACCCCTACGCGATGCAGATGTGTGTGTTGAAGGATCGCTCGCTCACACTTCAGCTGTTGGAGCGTGCTGAGAGTGCGTTGTTGAGTCCTGGTCCCATCTGTCAAGTGATGAATGCTTATGTTGGAATACAGAGGCGGGATACAAGGCCCTGTTTCTCTCGGTTGACGTGCCCTTGCTCGGAAAGCGGTTGAACGAGTACCGCAACAATTACACCCTCCCTGAGGATATGTCATGGCCGAATATCCTCAGCCATGGATTGGATACGTCGAATCGAACTGACTATGGTGAGTCTATGAATTATCCCTAGCAGGGTAGTGTATGGACATGTTACCGACTGACCTACAAAAAGATCCAAGCCTCGACTGGGAAACCACCATCCCCTGGCTCCGGAAACACACCAAGCTCCAAATCTGGTTGAAAGGAGGTATGTATAGTGTGCTTGACAAGTACAAAATTAACTATATAGCTCACATCACACACAGTATACACACCCGAAGACGTTGAGCTGGCAATCCAATACGGCGTCGACGGCGTCATCATCTCCAACCACGGGGGTCGCCAGCTCGATGGAGTCCCTGCCACCTTGGATGCGCTGAGAGAATGTGCCCCGGTGGCGCAAGGACGGATCCCGCTCGCGATTGATGGTGGGATTCGGCGAGGCTCGGATATCTTCAAAGCTCTGGCACTTGGAGCGTCGCATTGCTTTGTGGGACGGATCCCTATCTGGGGGCTTGCGGTATGGTTACCTCGTTCTATCTTTGAGAATTCGAACTTTGGAAGATTCAAGGGCTGACTTGTCTTGACTTACTAGTGGAATGGGCAAGAAGGTGTCGAATTGGGTATTAAAATCTTGTTGCAGGAATTCCGGATTACCATGGCGTTGGCTGGGTGAGTTTTATTCCTTTCTAGGTTGTGACGGGGAGGATTATGCTAATTTTGACTAGGTGTCGGTCAGTGAAGGAGATCAGAAAGAGTCACCTGTCGGTGCTCAAATCCGATGGAGTGTTGGCGAAGCTCTAATTGCGTTGATATTTGGTTGTATTGGATGTGGGCAGTGTATTATTGATGATAATCATACATTTTAGCATTGTTAAGCCATGAACTTTTGATTAATTCTATTCCTATGCCAATTTTCTAAAACCCAGCAATGCAATGCAACGAAGGAAATTACTCAGTATAATAGAACTTACTAGACTGATCAGCGTAGATGCTATTTAAGCCTTACTGCCCAGTCGGGGCAGTTGAACGCAGAAGTGCATCAGGAGCATGAGGGCCCCGAACACAGCTGCGGAGAAGAAGGTCAGACGGAGCGCTGCCGCATATGCACCCATAACTATACCAGATTAGCTCATGAAAATTAATGAGAGTGTATGAGGAAAGATAAGCTTACCCTGTTCTTGGTGGACTGGGTCCAATTTCACGATAGCCTGGACTGATTTGCGGACAAGAAGGATGATACTTTCCTTTTCCGGCCCTGTAACCATTTCTTCAAGCTGGTATACGAGGGTGTTCTGGAATATCCAACTGCTTGTCGCCACACCCATCACCGAGCCCAGGTTTCTCCACAGTCCCAAGGTCGTGGTAGCCACGGCCTGTTCATCCGGGTCACTGGTGGCGAGAACGGAGACCATCAAGGAAGGAAAAGAGAACCCCTGTCCAAAGCTTGCGAGCGAAACACACAACATGGCAACTACATCGGGGGTGCCCATACCAAGGGTGGATGCTGCGAGACCTCCTAGCATGAGACAAACGTCACCAAGGATCACGGTTGGCTTCAGTCGTTTGGTCCATGTGATGATGAAACCAGTCGAGACGCTCGAAACCGTCACGGCGAGGGTCGACGCTACCAGTCTGAGACCCGAGTCAGTTGGACTAGCGAGCTTGACTGCCTGGAAATACAACGGAGCATTGAAAATCATGGTGTTGACGGCAATGGATCCAAAGAAGTTGCCAAAAATGAGGTTGGCGCAGGGCTGCTTCGACAGGAACGATATCGGCATCACGGCCCGCTCCACGTGCCGCTCATATCGCACGAAGATCACAGCTAAGATGAGAGATGAAACCAAAGACGAAATGACCAGGGGATGAGACCAGCTGAGCACATTACCGCCCAAATTCAGACCCATAATCAACGCGGTCACGCTGACAACCAAGATGAACGAGCCCACCAGGTCAATATTTTTGAGTAGCTGCAGGAAAGTCATCCGTTCCGTCTTTGCCCTCTTCAGGCCCAAATCGGCGGGGGTGGTCCAGGCTGCCACGAGGAAATAGATGAAAATGAAGGGCAGCTGCACGAAGAACGCACCTCTCCATCCTACGGTATCACAGAGAAACCCGCCAAATGCCAATCCCAGGCAGCCTCCCACACCCAGACACAGATTGATGTAGGACTGGTACACCCCGCGATATTCGATGCGAACCAAATCGCTCGACAGAATCATGCCCATGGAGAAGACACCCCCGGCTCCCAGTCCGCAGAAGGCTCGAGCCGCTATAAAGCTCCCGATACTCTGGGCCATACCACACCAGGCAGTAGTCAGGAAGAAGACGGCGATGGCGAAAAGATAGACCGGCTTCCTGCCAAAAGTGTCGGATACGCGACCGAACAAAGGAAGGAAAGCGGTTGAGGTCAGAAGGAAGGCTGTTGACAGCCACGATGCAGAATTCGAGGCATGGAAATGGGATGTGATGACGGGGTGACTTGACGCCATCAAAGTCGAGTCAAAGAAACCAATAATGTATCCCATTTGGACCCCGCCGAAGATTAGCCAGAATCTCGTCGGGGAGACGTTGATAAATCGAGAGGCATAGCCGGTGGCTTCACTCGGAGACCTGCCTTCGGGATCTACTGCCGCTCTCTTGGTGGCTGCCCCTGCTGAAGGGATCCTTTCGAGATTTGGTTCGATTTCCAGCCCCTGGTTTATGGAAGTGACTCTCGAGAGGGTGATCACAGGCTCCTCATCATCGGAAGTGTATGCTGTGGATGAATCACCCGTCTCTAGGGCGTTGTTGCTATGATCGCTGGTGTAGTTTGCATGGGACTGTTCATGATTGAGAAGAGGAGTTGACTCATTGACGCCAACGCGTGATGATTGCGGGTTTTCATGCATCCCTCGAGGAAGGTGGCGGGGTGATGTATTAAGTTCAGGAAAACTCTTTTAGATATAATCCGTGTGTAATAAAAAGATATTTTTGTTTTTTTAATTTTTTTTTTTTTAAAAAAAATACTCTTTAGATTGTGAAGTTAGAAGGGTAAAATCATCTCAAGAATCAACTCGTTCGGGGGGTTGCTACAGTCTAGTTAAATAGGAGGAAATGTTGGTCGCATTTGGCTTTTCAGTACAGAAATTTTTATAGTCGAGGCTGTACGATGAGAGCGACGCTAATGCAGTGGGTTGGAGTCATCTCGTGCTGTGACTCGAGCCAACCCTGTCTCAGTGGGGGGGAACTTCGGGTCCCCACTCGGGTACGGAAAGGCGGGAATGAGATTGTATTTGTCTCTCCATTGAATTTCTTACTTCAATGTTTGACTCAATCCCGAAATACATCATGAAGATTCGTTATCTAATGTCTCTTGTTGTCCTCTATACAGAAGAAGAGAAGCCGCAGTCGCAGAAGAAGAAAACATCAGGACGGCCGAGGCTACTGAAAATGCCGCATGCACGCTGATGCACTGAGGGTATTTCACCCCCTCTTTAGTCACCGATAAGTGCGGTCTGCTCATAAATCTGTGACCCACTTTGTCTTTCTTACCTTACCTTGACTTGCTTTGTCCATTCCGCTGCAGCTTGTCTATGGTCAGATTGGGACCTGATGACCAAAATGCCCCCGGAATTGTGTCATCCGCACCAAGCGTTCATGCACCCATACGAAGTATATTGCCGCCTTCCCAATGGTTGGATCCCCGGCACAGACCCATCGAGTCCCTCAACCTAGGGCTGTCTTTTCCGATTTGCCGCTTCTCGAGACGAGTACAACAATTGGCCATACAAAGGCTAAGATAAAGACAGACCGTTCTCTTGGCGGCTGTTATGAAGGACGCACTAATCTACTGTCATATCAATTACGTTTGAAGTCTCCTGCACCACTATGTGAAAGACAGCCGTGGCCTGTGCTTATATCGATACTTCGGAGTACTATCCGAAATGCATGGTAGCATAAGCCGGACTCTAATCCGATCTCAACTCCCGGAAGACTCACTGACTTTGCGATAACCAAGTATTAAACGTTCCGATGTCCCGGGAAAAGCAAAGGCGGCAGGAATGAGCCAAAGGAACAGGATTATAATACCAGAACCTTATAAGATCAAACCCTATCGCCACCTTAAACTCGTAGGATTTGCCTGACCAAAAAGGCGGTGGCGTCCAGGGGTACAAAATGACTCAACTGCGTCCTGCACCTTTCCATCGACTCCTTCGGAACTCGTTTATCGCGTGGGATCTGCAAACCGTTGGCTTTAGAGTTTCTTGATACCTTGATCTTCCTTCAAGTATCACGTCCTACCCTGTGACATCGACAATCATCGCTGTGATCTCACCCCGTCGCCACCATGCGCCCCCCGCTCCGGATCGCCATCCTTGAATGCGACACTCCAATAGAAAGCGTGGACAAACGGTATAATGGCTACTACGGCTTATTTTCTCAACTTTTCCGCGAATGCGCCAAGTCCCTGGGATTAGATCCCGAGGCTGGCCTTGACATTACTCGATGGGATGTCGTGCATGCGCAAGAGTACCCCAAATTGGAGGATGTTGATGCAATCGTGCAGACTGGATCTAGTGAGTGCCTAAAGTATGCTAGAGCGCTGGCCCTCTACATACACACATCACGGCGGCACGCCTGATAACCTTAATCTCTATTTTTCATCTTGCTAACTTGACGTACCTTAGAACATGACTCCTTTGAAAACGACCCTTGGATCCTCAAATTAGTCGAATACACCCAGAAAGCCCTCCAAGACAACCGCGTCAAACTCCTCGGCATCTGCTTCGGACACCAGATCATCGGCCGCGCACTCGGCGTCAAAGTCGGCCGCAGCGATGCCGGCTGGGAGCTTGCAGTCTGCGACATGGACCTGACAGATCAGGGGAAGAAACTCTTCGGAAAGGATAAACTGGTACGCAGTGCACCCCTGTGGCTATTCGCATTCATCATTGCATACTACCACCTCATCCATGCACCCAATCTCCTTACCATTTTCCATTCTAACAATATGACTTGATAGCGCATCCACCAAATGCACCGAGACATCGTCTACAGCTGTCCCCCGAACGTGATCCCCCTGGGATCCTCGCCCAAGTGCGCCCTACAGGGCATGTACCTGCCGGGCAAGTTAATAACAGTTCAGGGTCATCCGGAATACAACGGGTTCATCGTTACCGAGATTGTCAACAAGCGGACCCGGGATGGCGCTTTCTCGAAAGAGCAGAGTGAGGATGCACTGGCTAGAACGGAGCTGGCGCATGATGGGTTCGATATTTTGGTTATTTTCTTACAGTTCTTGCTCGGGGAGATTGAATAGATACCCGTCTACTGGGATCAATTGCTGTACGATTGGACTGTGGCTTGTATTCCTCACCTTGTTTATAGCGACGGCATATAGAGGAGACAATTGTATATATATTTGAGGCACATGAATTCTATCTTCTAGTAAAAGATTCCTGGCCTGATCCCCATTGATGACAATAAACACACCGATGGACCAACGCAATGCAATTGAGATAGGTATGGATAGCGCCCGAGCGTTCAATATCCCCGAGCATCTCGCACTCTGGGCCTCTTCACGAAGCACCTGTCATATCCCAGTATAGTTTCAGCTGTCGCGTAGACACCGTGCAGGTGGATAAATCCTCCAAGGACAAGCGCAATGCGCATTACCCCTATGCCGACAATATAACCCATGCAAGTAGAATACCGCAAATCCGGTACCTAAAAATAGTGACACAAAAGAACGCCCCCAACCAATCCCAGTCAAAAGAGCCACTCCAAAGCCAAACTCCCCTAATCCAAAGGAAACACAATCACCCACTAGCACTCGGATCCTCCCTCTCCAGAAACGACGGGTCCATCTCCACCTTCCTCTCAAACTTCGACCACCAATCGCGGAACGCCTTCAACGGCACCGCATCCTGGTCACTCGAGGCAAAGCTGGCCAGGAAATTAAATGCATTCCCGATAATGCGCTGCGCGAGCACCTTGGTCGTGATCTGCCTCGTCTGCCGCACTAGTTGGCCCGAGGCGCCCTTTTCGGCCTCCAGGGCCTCGAGCTGCGGTGCGACGGTTGCGATGGGCTCGAGTGAGATTCCCAATGTTGCTGTCATACCCGGTTGGAGGTTTGGGGGTGGAGACGTGGGGATAATGGCGGAGGGCTTTTCGTTGGCGAGGGCGCCGATGAAGCGGAAGCCGTTGGGGTCGGAGGGGAACTGGATGTAGATTGCGGCGGCTGTGTCTGGGGGCAGAACGGTGCCGGGGAGGAGGAAGACGACGAGGTCGGAGAGGTCCGGGGTGAGGGGGATTGTGAAGGCGAATTTGGTGGCTTGGCCATTGGGTTGCGGGTCGACTGGGACGATGTCTGTGAGGCAGGGTCTGCCTGGAATTATGACGGAGAACATAGCGGCGGGGGGTTAGAGTAGTAGCTGAGTAGTGAAACAATGCGATAAACAAATGCAAGTGGGGTATCTGGTTGATTGGACGTCAAAGAATGGATGGACAGATGCAGATTAAGTGGTTTATAGTCTGGTTATACAGGTGATTTGGGGAGAAGATGCATTGTCTAAGCTGTGTAAGAAAGAACGGTGGTCGTAGCTACTGGAGCTGGGGAGAATTTCCCTGGGGGTTCCATATGGTAGAATCGCAAAGAAAAGCTTGGTGACGAAATCGTCCGCCTGCCCTTATCGATAAGGGCTGTGGACCAGCCTAACTTGTTATGGCTGCGTGGGCATCCAGCTGGTCACATGTTTTGCCTGACACATTGTATTGCATGTAATATGTATGCATGCATAGTTTGTTAGTTAACTTTACACTGGACCTGGTTGCATACACAATGGCCAAATCTAACCTGGACCTGGTTGATGAATGCGATAAGTAATCGGCCCCCTCTCATCCACCTATTATCTATACCAACATTCCCGAACAGATTTCCTTATTACGAAGATAACCCCGCATTCTATGCAGCCCACTTAAAGAAACACCACGCCTTCAAGGTCAATGGTTGCGATGCGGTATTGGGATACATACTCAACTCAGCCGTGGCCAAGTTCCACTGGCCCGCTGAACACTGGACAGTCGACTCTACAAACCAGACCGTCACACTGAACACTGCTGCAGATGCAACTCCGGAACAGCGCAGTAAGGTCATGGATGAGACCCTTAGAGCAGAGGCCAAACGGGGAAGTTTTGAGATTCTAAAGGGGTGGCGGAATGAAATGTACGCCGTCTATGCCCCCGGGGGTAAGTTCTTCCTCGAGATGGAACGGTGCGCCACCCCATTGTTTGGTGTTGTGTCGTATGGTGTGCACGCCACCTGTTACGTGGAAGACGAGCAAGGTCTGCAGTTCTGGGTGCCTAAGCGCGCAAAGACCAAGCAGACTTACCCTGGAATGCTTGATAATTCCGTGGCCGGGGGAATGAGCACCAACGAGCGTCCCTTTGAATGTCTTGTTCGTGAAGCAGAGGAAGAGGCATCTCTGCCTGGGGACGTCATCAGGGCCACTGCCAAGTCAGTAGGTTGCGTTTCGTATTTCTATGTGCGGGACTCTCGGGCCGGAGGCGAAGTCGATCTGCTACAACCAGAGGTAGAGTATGTCTACGACATTAAGCTTAGTCGGGACATTGTTCCCAAGCCCAGTGACGGCGAGGTGGAAGAATTTAAGCTGTATACCGTTGAAGAAACCAAGAAGGCTCTAGCAAACGGGGAGTTCAAACCCAATTGCGCTGTCGTCTTCATTGATTTCTTCATCAGGCATGGCATCTTGACCCCTGAGAATGAGCCCGACTATTTCCAGATCCTGACGAGGATGCACCGCCGCTTTGAATTCCCAACAGCGTCGCATTTCGCAAACTGAGTTATCACCGACCTTGAGTTAATTGGTAGATGAGAACACATATGTTGAGAATTGTTTGATATTCTATTGATATACCCAATCACCAATCAAACGCCGACGCTGCAACCAAACATCCCAATTAATGCAAACTTTTCTGTCAGTCCAAGAGTCGACCCCGGACACAGATACCCATGAATTTTCGATACGAAGTGTTGATGGGATGATATCTTTCCTCGTTTCCTTCATTTCTTCAGAAGTAGATACACATAGTCGATCCTCAAGGGTGCCAGCTTCTTGTAGGGTCCTTCAAGATAGAGCAAAAGTCCACCGAAAGAGATGAAAACCGCCCTATTAGTGGTCTCAATTAGCCAATGCTCCGAGACTTGATCGCCATGCGCGTGACCAGGCAAATCCCGGTACAATAAAGGTCTACCTACATGTTCCCTTGGGTAGTTCCCTCCTCAAAACGGTACACCTTTCCATGGCAAACATAGTCGTAGTCGTTCGCCAGGGTCTGTTCGCCCATACCGACTTCTCTCCAGCCCTTCGAGCCAGTGTCTTCCTTGCCGTCCAGAGAAAGGGTCGAAGCGAGAGCCATGGACACTGACTCTCCAGTTGTGCAAGGATAGAGTTCAGTGTTGACATCGAGAGTGAAGGTAGAGGTGTGATCAGAGGACGTGCAGGTCAGGCGAGAAACGCGATCGTATTTCTGCTGGTTGACACCAGTGATGGTGAAAGTGTCTTCGAAAAGCAATGGGTCCGACATGGCTGCGACGACACAGTGTAACTCGGCGAGTTCGAACAGTAGAGTATGGAGAATTGCTGAAGAGGCGCAAAGTCACGGAGTGGGAGGAAGTAGAAGGTTGACGGGGACGCGGCCAAAAACTGCAAAAGGAATCGCCGCAGCTTTTTTGCTCGACTTTTTAGCGCACTGCCGCTTTTACCTCCGCCCGGAAGCTGCCCCGCAGCCATTCCTCAAAAAAGTATTCAAGAGCAACAACACCCTCACAAGTCCACTACAACACAGAATGTCCTTTCGCAAAAGAAATATTGGCTTGTCAACGGGCGCCGATCGCGCCACGGCTCTCAATTCTACTGCGCAACCGCAGCAAGCCGCGACCGCACCAGAAACAAATCCCGGAATCCGACCCTCTCCCGATGATGGGCGCCCGACTACTTCGACAGGTAGCCGGTCGCTGGATAACCTCCTAGCTGGACATGGCGGGCTTCCCATTGGAAAGACTCTCTTAATTGAAGAGAATGGAACTACGGATTTTGCAGGCGCATTGTTACGGTACTATGCAGCAGAAGGTGTCGTACAGGACCAAAAGGTTCACGTTGTCGGGATGCCCGAGCAATGGGGCAGAAGCCTTCCTGGCTTGATAGGCCCTGCGGACGTCGCAGATGAGAAACCGGCCAAGCGAAAGGGAGAACGCATGAAGATTGCCTGGAGGTATGAGCGTCTGGGGGAGTTTGGGGCCGGCGTCGCTGGTTCAAGAGGTAAGACATAGAATGCGGTCACTGCTATCTACAGAAACTGTGTGAATCGTGAATGAGCCTAACAGATGCAGCACCCGTCGCAACCACGGGAGATCAAGCTTCGTCCGCAGCGAACGGAGATCAGGCTCAGCAGCCAGCATTTTGCCACGCTTTCGACCTCACCAAACGTCTAACCCACCCATCTATTGCCAATATCACGTATATCCCTCTCACCCGCACAAACGAACCCCTCTTCGTCTCAATTCATAAGCGCCTTCAAGCCGCCATCGCCCAAAGCCCTCCCAATACGGTCCACCGCATTATCATACCTTCTTTGCTCAACCCCACGCTCTACCCGCCTGAGGCCAGCCAGCCCGAGACCATTCTGCCGTTTCTTCACTCGCTAAAGGCTTTGATGAGCGCACCTCGGCGCGTGTCACAGCTATGATAACAATGCCTTTGTCTTTGTTCCCCCGCTCCTCGGGGCTTGTGCGATGGGTCGAACTTTTGACCGATGGTGTTATCGAGCTTTGTCCTTTCCCCCACTCTGCCGATGCCCTCGCAACCTCAGGCGCTGCGACAGCCGGTGAAGAGCCACCGCAAGGCGTGCTCAAAACTCATCGACTGCCTGTGCTACACGAACGGGGCGGGGGTAGTGATCAGAATGTTGGACAAGATTGGGCGTTTACTCTCAGCAGACGGAAGTTCGAAATTAAGCCGTTCAGTTTACCGCCGGCCGAAGGAGATAAGGAAGCCCAAGAAGGCGCGGGTCAAGGCGGAATGCCAAAAAAAGCGGATCTAGAATTCTAAACTGACGCTGCTATGTTGAATGAGGGAGAAGGAAGTCCGCAAATCATTCTTCATGGTCCGAATCTCTCAGCATATCCTCCAGTTCGATCTGTTCAGACATGGCAGGCCCAGAGCCAGCCATGCCTCGGAGATAGTCCCTTCCGTAGGCATCCATGCCCTCTCTGAGTGAGTTCTGCGTGAACCGAGAGCGAAGGCTCCTCCCTAGGCAAGACGATAGAGCAAGCCACGCTCCGAGGTGTTAACGATGGAGACCCGTTAGCGTAGGGGAGTCACTTACCTAGGAGTAGAAGGAGAGGCGCAAAAAACACCACAAAGAGGAGTAGAAGGAAATTCATCGCGGCCACAGCTGGTCGTGTTACCGTATGCTAGCATAGGATAGAAAAGAAATAGAGATGGTTTCTTGTTTGGGCTGATCAGCAGTGCCGCTCCAGGCTTAGCGCAACCATGTACAGCACGTGATGCGATATTGCTTGTTTGAAGCGAATCTTCTTGATAGTTAGACCGATACTGCGTCAAATCCAGCCGTTATCGGATGGATCGGATGATGTTAGGCCTAAGTTTCAACAACAAGTTGCAGAGATAGCTGACGGACCTGCTTTCTAGTCTCCGGAGTATGGTAGAATATGTTGCCTCAGGCATGAGAAACCCACTTCATGTGACTAACGCGAAGAGGAAAGGCTCCGTCAGGGTTTAGCTTTTAAGAGCTTCTCCTCCCACCAAAATTTACATTCTTCTTCCTCATCACTTAGACACAACCGCAATTGACATAGCTCTGGTTTTGCTGGCCAAATTCCAGAGCATCTCTTCATCTTGTTATGTACTCTTGTATTTGATGGTAAGTTACTGTCTTTATTTTCTTAATATTGCTGTCTTTGCATGATTATACAAATACTATAATCTGTCAATCCCCTGAAGCTCACTATAATATCTCATAAAACGAGCATATGTGATTGAGAAATGTATCGAAAATGACTTGCATTCTTTATTTACCATGTTGATCTTGCATCTCTTGTGTTTAACAATATGCTAACATCAAACTGGTTATAGCAGTGCAACTGATAAACTGGAACATCTCACATAAACAAAATGACTACGGAGCCCACCCTCCCCATCCCGATCTCGTATATCGCGGGTAACTACTATCTTTTCTCTATTGATGCCGTTACGTATTTGAGACGAGAGCATCACATCTGTGGTGTCCTGATAGGCACTCTGCCGCAAATCCCACAACAAAATGTCTTCCTGGGATTGCCGCTGGAGCTGATGCCGGAGGAGGCGAGGCTGCTGGTGGAGAAAGGTGTAGCTTGCATTGTAGACGAGGTAAAAGTTCAGAACCAAGGCATGAAAGCCTGATGGAGGAGGATCGCAAGAAGTATCTCCGTGAGCTAGAATCCCAAGGCCTTCAAGCTATGCGGCTGCAAGCCAGCCGGAAGGAGCAACAGAGAGAGAAATCATTAAAGAAATTAGAAGAAAAGAAAGCAAAAGCTGCCAAATCAAAGAAATCCGAGGATCCTGAACCCGCTTCTACTGTCGCTGATGGGCCTAAGGATGACCCATTGGTAGACCTCTTCGCAGACAGTCAACCGTCAAGCCATAGTCAAACTACTTCTCGACGTACCTCCACTACTGTCGCCCCCGAGAATGCACTGGGCATCACGCCAGCAACGGCTCGTCCGCCTCTCCCAGCTGAGCCCTCTGCCGAGCAGCTGCTGCCAATACCTCAGGCTCCCTCGTCTTATCCTTTGTTTGCTCATCTCCATGCCGAGGGTTATTTCCTGTCCCCGGGTCTCGATTTGGCTGCCAGTATCTTGCCTATCCGGGCGATCCCTTACGATTCCACTCTCATTTCTTGGTTGTCTCTGCCGAATGGGACGAAGAGCTCGATTTGATGGACATTATCGCCGGAGGTCGACTGGGCACGGGTGTAAAGAAGGCATTTATGATTGGAGGTGCTGAGAAGAAGGAGAACACTGCCGATGAAGAGAATGTGAGAACTTTCAGCATTGAGTGGGCAGGAATGTGAGACTATTGTCCTGGATTGCTAGACTTTGACGGACCGGTCTCACGCCGCACATCGGCGATGCAGACATATCGTTCAGCAGATAGGCTGTATGGAACGTGTGCACAGCCCTCGACGCTTCCTGGATGGAAGATATCCGATCAACGGAACGCCACTGTTGATGCTTGATATACATAACCCACGAGTACTATGGATGTCGGTGAACATCCGTACTGGCGACCAATTAAGCATACCTGTGCTTGACTGAGGTTAGTGGCATATGCTAACGGCTCGGTCTAGCCATGGGACCTGTGGCAGGTCTTTGACGGTGCGACTTTTAATATCAAGTCAAATGTCGAGTCTCTATGGTTGTCATAAGAGACACGATTATCACATTGAAGCTCTATTATCTTATATGCAACTAGAGAAGCATTTGTTCTAGTCAAAATGATACCCATTAAACCACCTCAGTAGCATACGTCTAAATACTGGCTAATGGCCTAATAGCTCACATCCTGTAGCATATGTAAGACAAGCTCAATATAAGGCCGGAGAAGCAGAGCTGCGGCCTTCGAGGCGCAGCATCCCTACTTTCGACGGTTACTCCGAAAGAGGTTTGATGCCAACGGACGGCATGGGGTGCCGGAGGCTTGGTCATGCTTGAGGGCAGGCAATGCGCAGGCGACGCCAGGAATCCTCTCCTATATCGACTCGGCACCAGTATTCTCTGCATCGCGTTTTGCGCTTCATTCCTTCAGCATCTGCGCTCCGTTGCCAGCATGACTGCCAAATAAGGATTGTCTTTTCGCTGGGCCTACCCCGTCGTAGAGTGTCGTCAACGTCATAAAATATAGGCGAACACCACACCATCAATCAAAGATAGTCCACATTGCGCCACTTGAACTTCTTGTTTGCACGATCCACCGGCCGATTCAGGAACTGACTCCCATGAAGCTCAAACGTAAGGTCCTTTCTAGCATTGGAACCAGCATTCGCACTTGCGTCTTCCGTCACATCCATATCATCCTGACCCGGTGCGGACAACGGCACCCGAAAGCGAAAAATGGTCTGTTCCTTCGGCAAAGCTATCGCAAACAGCATCAACATTAGGCTCACCAACTCACCACAGACTAAAACAAAAGAAAGAACACTCACTCTTAATCTCATCCCCCTCCGTAACAACCACAAAAGTAAACTTTGTATCCCGAACCACAATACCCCTAACGCCCACCCTCCCCGCACACCGACTCCTCACAACCTCGACCTCCGCCCCGTGGAAATCAGCACTAACCAGCTTACTCCCATGCGACAATGCCGTCACATTAACCTCCTCCGGCTTGCGACCCCCGAGATCCAGCACCTCCCGCATATACCCCACCCACATGCCATGCAGGCCCTTGAAAATCGCATACTTGCACTCCTCCTTGGGCAGGTCGTAGATACCGGAGACGCGCTTCTCGCGCGCCGACAGCGGCCGCGGCTTCTGTTTGCGGAGGAAGTAGGCTTTCTTCTGGAGACGGTGGCGACGGCGTCGGTCGCGGTTGTCTTCGGGCGTGGGCGATGTCGGGCGCAGGTAGAGCGGTTTCTGTTTTATGCGTTCTTTGAACAGTTGCGACGCGGTGTCGGGGGAGTGGGCGCGCTCGAGGAGGGTTTGCGCGATGTGCGGTTTTGGGGTGGTCATTTTTTTTTCCTTTCTCCTGTCCCCTTTTCTTTTTGTTTCTTGGTTTTGGGTGTTGGTGTGGTGTTGAAGGAGGTGCTCGAGGTGGTTACGTGGTTGGAGAGAAATTGTTCTGTTATCGGGACTTTTTGCTGGGCTGATAAGGTTAGGTTTATCACGGGGGTTGCCTGTTTGGGACGTTGGAGTATAAATGGAGTGTTTTACTCCACGGCTACGGTCTACCTAGTATATGACTTCGAGTATACCTTAGCTCTGTATTCATTCGCTTCATGTATGATGTCTAGTGGTGTTGTGAGCAGCTCATATGCTAGTTAGTTTGTTCGTGGTTAGTCAAACGAATCTCTCTTCTAACCCTTGTCTAACATCCCAGGAATAGAAATGGCCCTAGTCAAGTTCACAGCATTTGAGATTCAGGATAATATGGACGCAATCTATGACATACACTTATTAGCATACCGAGGTATCGAAAGTTCAAAGAGTATTTGAGATCCAATTGGCATTAGTCAATTGTCGTATGTGCGATTCGTATGCCGGGTTCTCCAACACAGTAGTAGTCCTCCTGACTCTTGACAGGAAACAGGCTACAGGTCAAGACTGGATCCAACGAACGCCCACCAATACAGCAACAGTGAACCAAATCCACTGTCTCCAAAAGGAATTCTTTCTCCAAACTCAAACAAAACCATACGACCCCAACGTAACCTCGTAAACCCATCCATCGGCTAGAACCAAACCCCTAACTGGCCCAAATCCTCGGCTCACCTCCTTCCCCGCATTAGGGCTACATCTATATCAAGATCAGGATCAACTTCAACTTCAAACATCCAACACAAAGCAACACAAAAGAACAAGCCCAAACCCAACAAAATGGCCACCCAAGAGACCCTCCCCCCATTCCCAGACAGCGTCCCCACAGCGCCCCTAACCCGCCTCTCGCTCAGCAAACTGCTCGCCCACGACGAAGCAGAAACAGACCGGTTCATGCAAGCATGCTGCGACATCGGGTTCTTCTACCTGGACCTGCAGGGCACTGAGTCAGGGACTACCCTCCTCGCCACAGCAGACAAGCTATTCCAGACAGGCACGGAACTGTTCCAGCTCCCGCTCGCCGAGAAACAGAAGTATGATTTCAGTGCCCAGGGTTCTTACCATGGGTATAAAGCCCAGGGGGCAATGATTGCAGATAAAGAGGGGAATATGGATAGGAATGAGTTTTATAATGTAGATTCTGTCCCCTTCCCCATCACCACCACTACTATCACTATCATCATCACTAAGATACATACACATATACCATATGCATATGCATATGCATAGTATACTAACTAACATACAAAAAGGTCTCCAAAGACGCCATCCTCAACCTCTCCCCCGCGCTCCCAGGCCCAGAAATCCTCTCCACCCCCGAAACACACACCGACCTGAAAACCTTCATCACGCTCTCGCACGACATCACGATCCTCGTACTCACCCTCCTAAACAAAACCCTGGGACTCCCCGAGTCGACCCTCCCCGACCTCCACCGCCTGCAGTCCCGAAGCAGCGACCAAGTACGCTTCATCAAAGCGCCGCCGCAACCACTACGAGACAGCCGCACGGCGATGGGCGAGCACACCGACTTCGGCAGCGTGACCATCCTCTTCAACCGGCTGGGCGGGCTGCAGGTTCTGCCGGCGGGGGCAGACGCAGAGTGGACGTATGTGCGACCTTTGCCGGGCCATGCGATTGTGAATCTGGGGGATGCGTTGGTGAAGTTCACGAATGGGTTGCTGAGGTCGAATATTCATCGTGTTGTGGCGCCCCCTGGGGAGCAGGCGGCGTGTACCAGGTATAGTCTGGTTTATTTTGCGAGGCCTGGGGATGAGGTTGTCTTGCGCAGGTTGGAGGGGTCGGAGTGTATTCCGGAGGGAGGGGAGGACGAGGTGATTAGCAGTAAGGAGTGGGTTTGAGGAGGGCGTTGGGGAGGAGGGGGGATTGGGTAGTGCGGAGTATGAGAAGTCGGCTGGGACGGAGATGATGAGTCGGAGGATTAGGGTTTGATTTCTTTTCTTTTTTTTCTTCTTTTGTCTGTTTATGTGCTTGCTTGATTTGGGGCTAGTTTATGGACTTCAATTTATATAAGTATGGAGTGTATTGTCAGGGTGGAGTATTGAATGTACATTGCTTAGGGCTCTATAATCATGTTCAAAGAATGCAGATTGCTCCATCCCGGACTGACAGGTGGGATATTCTTCCTCACAAGCCCCTGTGAATTATGTGTTAACCAGAGGAATGGTGAACAACTCTTTAGCTGCGTCACTTCAAGGACCTGACATGTTCTATCACTACAACCTAATGTGGTCACCGTGAATGAACGCAGTGGATAAGGACTCTTCACTCACTCTGTCATTCCCTTCCTCACATTTGATCCTTTGGTCATAGATTATATGAGCTAAACTTCTGGGCAGAGGGGCCCTCAAGTAACACTGTGCACTTTTGTGTTATTACTGTCCCAGCAAGTATGATATTCTAAGTTATGAACCATTCACACATCCTACTCCTGGCCCAACACGACATTAACTGTCTCAGAGCTGTTGTAACACCTGGATAGGCAAGGTGTCGATATATACTCTCTCTCTAGTCAAAATGGCATCCCAACGTCTCCCAACGGCAGCTCCAACAAGGGGACAGCAGTTACAGACTCGTTTCAGCATCATCTCACCAAAAGTACCACTACGCAGACATGGTATCTTCAAGTGTTGGGCCTGCTTGGCTATCTTTGCCTTCATTCTCATGGAGTTCCTATATGCGCTGGCCGACGGGTTCCTGGAAGACCAGCTCGAAATCCAACTCCAACTCAGATAACTCTCAATCCAGCATGGATGACCAGAACCTTCAAGACACTTTGTCCGACAGCTCCAGCTCGCCTCCAACTCCGTGGAGCAGCCCCCTGAGCAGCCTCTCCTCCACGACACTCAGCCCATTGACGCCGCCATTGCCGTTCCACGAACCGGAAAGTAAAGTTCATACTGATGGTAACTGCTGAACTGGTTCGTTCAATCTATGTAAGCTCTGAACTGACAACACATTAGGCATCAGGTCACACTCGACCGTTTCACGCGAGGGTTACTGTGTGGCCAAGTCTGCGGTGGATATTATGCAAGGTATTGAAAGCAAGAGGAACAACTTTTTCACGGCCATAAAAGACATCGTCCTTCCACTTCTGGGTGACAAGGGGCGATTCTATCAAAACAAGGAGACGTTGACTGCCACTGTGCGACCATACAAACTGTTGAATCCACAGCGTACAGGGTAAGGGTAGCCTAGTATTCTCCGGCTTTGGCAACGACTGACAATGCAGCATAGACTTCAAGCTCAACTGAAACCGTACCAGCTTCGAGGGCTGTCATTTCTATTGTATCTCCGAAACAACGGCATTGGTGGAATCCTCGCAGATGAGATGGGCCTAGGGAAGACTATCCAGACCCTTGCTCTCTTCCAGTATATCAAGAAGCACGATAGTACTGTGCGACTTGAAAAGCCTGGTCCGTTCTTGATTGTCTGTCCGTTCAGTGTGATGGAAGTTTGGCTTTCAGAGATAAACAAGTGGACACCGGAGCTCACTTCTATCAAGTTCCACGGAACACCGAGCAAAAAGGAGGCAGTCAAGAAGATTCTGACTCCTGCCAGAGGTAAAAGCCGGAGGAGTGTGACACCTGCGGTGGACATTGTTATAACCTCCTATGAAACTTTGACCTCAGATATCAAATGGTTCCGAAAGTTCGTATGGAATTATGTTGTTCTTGATGAGGGCCATCGCATCAAGAATAACCAATCGCACAGAGCCCAAACCATTCAAAGTATCAGGGCTGAATACAAGCTCGTCCTCTCGGGGTAAGAACACATCTTGCAGGTACCGTTTGCTCAAACGACTAACATTGTCGACACTCAGAACCCCAATACAGAACAATCTAAGGGAATTGTGGTCAATCTTCCATTGGCTCTACCCTGATGTCTTTGTGCCGTCTACATCAGAGCCGTTCGAAGAGGCATTTTCGCTCAGAGATGGGAAGTTCGATCCCAAATTCTTCGACCAAGTCCAAAGCTTCCTCGGCCTAATCATGCTCCGCAGAGTTAAGGAATCCCCAGAAGTAGGGCTTTCAATTCCACAGAAGACAGAGACAGTTTTATCGGTGCCTCTGTCAGAGTTTCAACGTTCCTTGTACTTGAGGATACTTACCGGCATAGAAAATTCCATTCAAGGTGGACATGGGAGCATCTCATTCGGCCATAAGCGTGAGATGAGCAAACACCAAAAGTCTAATATGATGTGTGAGCAGAATGATGGTTTCAATGCTGGCATATCCGGGCTATCTTCAGCAAAGCACGTTGAAAAGAGAAAGTACAGAATATTGAGCAATATCCTCATGGAACTGCGCAAGGTGAGCCATAAGTTTTTACCTAGTATGCCAGTTTAACTGATTCGCAAATCCAGTGTTCGATCCACCCGTATCTATTAGATGATGCGATTCCGGATCCTTACGAACTCGGAGCACATGTTATCACAAATTCTGGAAAATACATCGTGCTCCTTAAAATGGTCCAGCATTTTGTCTTAAAGAGAGGGAAGAAGATAGTCATATTTTCGAACTTCAATCAGGCTTTGAATCTTTGTGAGGATCTTCTATTGACTATCCAGAAGAACGGCGATCCTGTGAGATATGTTCGATTAGACGGAAGCACATCTAACGCACGGCGGAACCTCTCGATTTACCTCTTCCAGAAGGATCCCAGATACATGGTCTTTCTGATTTCGATAAGGGCTGGCGGCGAGGGTCTCAATTTAATTAGTTCCTCAACGGTTATCTTCTTGGATGAAGACTGGAACCCCCAAGTTATGCGACAGGCTGAAGCGAGAGTCCATCGAATCGGACAGAACCACCCGGTGAGTATCTTTAAGCTCCAGTCAAAAGGCACAGTGGAAGAACAGATCAGCCGTCGCATTGTCAAGAAAGCATATGTTGCCAGCAAAGTCATGGAGGATATGACTGCAGCGCATGATATGAAAGCATTTGCAAATATGATTGATTCTCGGGGACTAGCCTACGCCATGGATACGGAGGACTTGTCTGCGTTAGTCCGCAGTCGAGCAGTTTTAACGTCTAACCAGTTGGATGCAACAGAATTGAGCTGGTTCAACTGGAAAATGATCCTCAATGTATGTGCTAGCAACCGGTCCATTGAGCTAAACAGGAAAAACACCGCTATCGATGTACACCAAGAAAAGGCTTGGCTGGCGCGCGCGGAGCGGGTCAAAACCAATATTTTCGACGGGAAAAAGGTCGACACAAGATTCAGATCATTTTCCATCTATGAAGCTTTGTCTACGGATCTTTGTCGAGCAGATAGACGCATTGGAAAGGAGCGGACTGTTATAATCGACGGCTTCTCCGTGGGAAAGGATAGTATCCGACTCGAGAGCCTCTCCAGCAAGAGATGTCCAAATCTGTCGCAGACGGACCCGAAGGAGAAAATGACGCACGAAGCTGTAAGTAGTAATCCCCAAAGTCTCAAGCCAATCGCAAGGCTAAAATCTTTCCAGACATGTTTTCTCTGCCGGAAGTTCAGCCCTCAAGAGTGCGATCTTTGTCCATTGGCATTCCACAAAGAGTGTCTCGAGTCGATAGGCAAGATGCGCCGTGGCGGAAAGAGGCTTTTATGCCCCCATCACTATTGCTCTCAATGCGAGAAAACAAGTAGCAAGGCAGGTGGGCTCTTGTACTGCTGCACAACTTGCTATAGAGCATACTGTGAGGAGTGCCTGAGTTGGTCACAGACAGACTTCGTGGGAGTGAACCATGCACATGAATCTATGGGATATTTCCCCAAAAGTGTGTTTTACATAAAATGTGCACAATGCAGCGACCAGCGAAAGCGGCGCCTTGATTTCGGATCGGTTGGGCCGTCCAAGAAAACGCGACGGTATTGATGTACGGACATCATCTAGTTTGTTTCAGGGAACTGAACGGTTGGTAGGGAGTGTTACAGCATTTTCATGTGCCCAGAAACATTTGTTCATCGGAATTGATGTAATTGATGTGGATCATATGAAGGGAGAAACAGAGACAAAGTACTCGGTTAGTCCACGGATACTCCGAGCACCTTCCTAAACAGGAGCAAGTAAACGGCAAGAATCTTACATTATCAACGAGTATGTCTGGTATCGCTTTCAATCCATTACCTGTAACGACCCTGATCGCATTCTGTACTGGTAATTCGCGTATAAACAGATACAGACAGAAAGGTTCTCCCCACCAAAACATCAAGCTGCATAACGACTGCAACAACAGACGGAAACAACGTGTATGCGGCGCCACCAGTCGGCAATAGAGCTACTAGCAAGTTGGTCAGCACGAATAGAAGTACCGTATTACAGGACAGACATCTCATGCCTTACCTATTGAAGCGCCCGGTGCATAACACCCTAGGCGAGCCACCAGTGCATGACTTGGTCATGCTAAGAAGCAGACAGGGATCCGATGAAGAAAACGGACCACCGAAGTGAGAAAAATTTCACCGGGGACTCCACCGTTCCCAAACCGGTGGCACATGAATCGCCCCTCGAAAAGTGGATCAATATAGACAGGGAATATCGTTATATAGGGAGGGATATGTTCCGCGGGACCGATCCTATTTGTTTCCGTTGCGCTGGAACTTCACGGCGGGGCCGTGCGAAGTTGCCTTCCGAAAAAAGCCTTGTTTGTTGTTCGTCTCCACCGAGTCTGTAAGGAATGACTCTCTGAGAGAGCGAAGAATTGTCCGACAAGATACGGATGAGCAACATGACGGGTCTAATCGAGTCATTAAATGAGGCGGTCCCAACAGATGAGTTGTTTGCGTGGGGATCTGCACGCATCCAGAGTCCTGGGAAAACGACGGCGCCATTTCCAACCGTTGATTTGTCTTGCTG